GGGTAAAACTTGAGTATATAAACACATTTTTATAGATTGAATATAAACTTGTGTAGAAATATCTATTGCCTCCACTTTGTGTTGTATTAAGGAAGGAAGGAGGGAAAGAAGGAAGGATTGATTTTTTTTTCTTTTAAAAATGCATGTTTAAATGCATCTGGTTCACTCTCATCACAGATCAACTGTTTAAAACATAACTTATTTCATGAAATAATGTAATCGCTTGCTCTTTCTGTGATAGATAAATACTGCCTTTTCTGGATATTTTCCTCCCTCCCCTTTGTCTCTCTGGATCTTACCTTCCAGCTTTGGTTATAATCATTTCGGTTCCCACGTCGTGAAATTTGAGCCATAGCTCTCGCTCATGTAAAAATACTTTGATTCCTTCCATTCCCTGTAAAGAAAAAATACCAAAAAAAAATCATTTCTCCATCTCTCCCTCTCTTTCCTCCTCCCTCCCACCCTCTGTCTGTCTGTCACATTCTCTATTTCTCTCTCCTTTTTCTCTGCTCTCTCTCTCTCTCTCTCTCATTCTTTCTCTTTCTTCTTCTCTTTCTCCTTTCTCTCTTTTATTTCTCCTTTCTCTCGCTCTCCTTCCCTCTCTCTCTTTGTCTGTCTCTCTCATTCTCATTCTCTCTCTCCTTCCCTCTTCTCTCTCTCAATCATCTTATCTCTATATCTATCATATCTCTCTCTTCCCCTCCCTCTGTCTGTCGCTCATTCTCATCCTCTATTTCTCTCTCCTTCTCTTTCTCACTCCTTTGTGCTCTCTTTCATTCTCTCTCCTCTTTCTCTCTCCTTTCTCTCTCTCTTTTTCTCTCTCCTCCTCTGTCTCTCTCCTTCTCCTTCTCTCTCTTTCCCTCCCTCTCTCTGTTTCTGTCCGTCTCTCACTCTTTCCTAGGAATATGTTTCTACGGGGAAACCCACACATACACATTATATAACTGAATGTGTGTGTGTGTGTGTGTGTGTGTGTGTGTGTGTGTGTATTATTTACTGAGATGAGCAGCTATACAAATTTAAGTAACAAATGAATCTATATAAAACCTGAAGAACGTACAATTACAAAGATACCCAAGGGGTTTCACCAAGGACCCCCTACTCCAAGAAGGAAATACACCAAGGGGGGGGATGGAAAAAACGCAAATAAACACCATCTCATTCACACGTGCTCTTATAACGTGCCCTTCTGTTTTCATTCCCAAACACCACTTTCTTTCCTCGGGCCGCCTGAGGGCCGTCGCGCGCAAATTTCCAAGGGTCTCTCTCTCTCTCTCTCTCTCTCTCTCCGAAACACACGTGCGTTGGATCCAGTTCTTTTTCCAATACACGTGAAACCCGTTCTCGCCCCCGACGCGCTCCCCCTTTCAAAGTCAACTTAACATTTGAGTTGCCAAAGGCGACAGTCTCTGACCGGCATCCTTCTCACGTACCACCACCCCCGCCCGATCGGTGGAGCCCTCGGGGCGTTCCACTCTCGGGGCTTAATCCGGGAAGGGGAGACCGCGTTACATGTGAATGGATCTTGCCGGGGAAGAAAAGGGGAACCAGAGTCTGGTTTTTTTGCCCCCTCCCGCCGCCGCCGCCGCTCAGTGATAACTCGATTTTGCGCCGTCTTTGACCTCATCCCTTGGCAGCTCAAGAGAGTTTGGGCGTTATCTCTCCCCAAATGGGGAGGGCGTTTAGAGGAGGGGGTGGCCCAACGCCCCGCATTTTCAGAATCGCTCGCGCCCGCGGCCGTGGGAGCCGCTGGGAACTTTCCGATACCAGCAGCGCTGATAAGACCCAAGCATTAAAATAGAAGGAGCTATAATAGGACGGGCTGGAGATTTCCTGAATATTTTCTCTTTTTTTCCGAAAGGAGAGGGAAAGAAGAAAGAGGAAAGGAGAGGCAGACAGGGAGGAGAAGTAAGAGTAGGAGAGAGGGTAGGAAGGGGAAAAAGAAGAGAGGAGTGGGGAAGGAATGGGGATTTTACAGTATTCTTTCCCCAGGAGTGAGTAGGGAATGGGGATTTTGCAGTATCCTTCCCCTGGAGTGGGGAGGGAATGGGGATTTTGCAGTATCCTTTCCCCAGGAGTGGGGAGGGAATGGGGATTTTGCAGTATCCTTCCCCTGGAGTGGGGAGGGANGGGAGTGCAAGGCCAGGTACTATCACCTGGAGGCTCAGCAGGCTGAGATGGTCAGCCAGTTCCTGGCCATGATGCACTCCCACTGGAACAAGGTTCTCTGGTTCTTCCCTCCAGCCTTCGCCCAAAGCCCCCCACCAGGAGGCCGAAGCAGACCCCAAATTGGAATTTCTGCCCCCTCTGCCCCACACAAAAAGACCCTGAAGGGGGAGACTCTCTGCAGCAACACAAGCGTTCATTGCACGTATCCATCCCAGGGGCCGTAGTTTTAAGACCTCTGATTTAGTGCAATATCAAAAATGCAAATAATTTTTTTGCGGGCCACCAAAATTATACCACAGACCACCAGTTGGTGACCGCTGATAAACAACTCTTGTCTGAATGACACAACGACAGAGTTGGAGGGGACCTTGGAGGTCTTCCAGTCCAAGCTCTTACTCAAGCAGGAGACCCTCTACCATTTCAGACAAATGATTGTCCAATCTCTTTTTCAAAACCTCCGGTGTTCGAGCACCCACACCTTCTGGAGGCCATTCGATGTGCTGATTAATTGTTCTGGAAGGAAATTTCTCCTTGGATCTAAGCTGCATCTCTCCTTGATTAGTTACCCTCCATTGTTTCTTGTCTTGCCTTCAGGTGCTTTGGAGAATATGCTGACCCCCTCTTTTCTTGGTGGCATCCTCTCAAATGTTGGGCCATAATTTCAAACAAGAAAGGTAAGATCTACCTCCACCCTTCTATCCTTACACAATGACCTGCTGGAGATGGTTGCTGGATTGATGGTAGACTTTACCTCCCACTCTCTGGTCATTTGTTTGGGTTATAATATTGAAGTATTATCTATGGAGATTCTCCGTCACAAAGGACATGATTGTGCTTTTGTTGTTGTTGTTGTTGTTGCAAAGTTTTTTTACTTTTTTCATTTTCCANGGTGATTTGACCAATTATCAGGAGACAGTGAGTTCTAGCCCCGCCTTAGGCAGGAAAGTTAGCTGGGTGATTTTGAACCAATCACCAGGAGACGGTGAGTTCTAGTCCCGCCTTAGACAGAAAAGTTAGCTGGGTGATTTTGGACCAATCATCAGGAGATGGTAAGTTCTAGTCCCGCCTTAGCCAGAAAAGTTAGCTGGGTGATTTTGGACCAATCACCAGGAGATGGTGAGTTGTAGTTCTGTCTTAGCCATGAACACTGGGTGGGTGTTTGAACCAATTCCCCTCCCTCTCTCAGCCCAATTCTACTCATATTGTTGTGGTGGTGGTGGGCAAAATAAGAGGAGGACAGCGTATTGGTCATGTTCAGTGCATTGACTTATTTATAAAAATACAATTTTTTAAAAAAATATGGGCCGAGTTGGTAGGATTCTGTCTGTTAAGGTTTTTTAATTCAAGAGGGCATTTACATACTGCCTGTATTTATATATTATATTATAAAATATAAGCAGAGCATCATATGACTTGAATTGAGTGGCATTTATACAATATTAACACACTAGTATTTATATAACCGAAACCTTTAAAGATAAAGTAGTAGTTTATATCAATATGAACTGTGATTTCCAAAATGTCAATGTTTTTTCCCTTTTCCCTTTTATTAATATTTCCTCTTAATACTTTATGTGGCTTCAATACGGTGATATTTATGCAGTTAAAGTTCTTGAGACTCTTTTGATTGGGGAACTTAATAAAGAAGAAGTGGAGACATGTTCTGTCAGTATCGATTATACTTTAGGATATGACTATTGTAAGTTTAACATTATTTGACTTTTTCATAGGTCAATGCTGACAAGCATCAAATTGTTTAAATGTTGCATCCAAAAGTAAAAGCTTAGGATGTTTTCATACCTAAAGCAAAACTGGACATGAAGACTCTGCTATTTTGATCTCTTTGTCTCCATCTCTGACTATGTGGTTCCACCTTCTGCCTAACAGTTGAGTCAGCCCCACAGATATACCGTATTTTTGGGAGTATAAGACACACCAGGGTATAAAACATACAAAGATTTTGAAGAGGTAAATTAAAAAACAAAAGGATTTGCACTCTGCAGACCTCCCAAACCTTCTGCAGGCCTCATTTTTGTGTGAAAAATGGGGCATGCAGAGAGTTTGAGAGCCCTGCAAAGTGCTCCTTGGGCCTTGAAGGGGGGGGCAAAAAACGCCCCGTTTTTGTGAAAAAGGGCCTGGTTTTTGCCCCCAAAAAGGGGATGTATAGCCTATAGGAGGCTTGTAGAGTACTCCTGGGGGCAGGGGAGGGGCAAAAACGAGCAAAAAGGTGCATCCTATACTCCTAAAAATACAGTATGTAGGAAAAGAGCAGGCAGAGCTGAGGGTGGTGTCAAATGTGCCATTAGCTTGGAGTTTTTGTATTGCCATCATAAGCGATCCATGTTTAACCTCTCCTGAATTTCATTGATTCTTATCTGGCACCAATTTAGTGCTGAACATCAGTTGACCAGATTCTGGTGGTATAAACTTGAATAAATTTTCTATGCTGCAACCTTAGGCATGGTCCTGAGAATATATTGGTTGGAGTTATAAGAAATGATGGCTTTCATGATTGAATTAAGGTCCACATGAAGATATTCAGATTGGGATTATTCATTAGGGCACCTAAAACACTCTAAACTGGGCATTTGCAAACTTGGCAACTTTTAAGACTTGTGGACTTCAGCTCCCAGAATTCCCTACGTTGGCTGCGGAATTCTGGGAGTTGAAGTCCACAAGTCTTAAAATTGCCAGGTTTGGAGACCCCTGCTCTATCCTGATGTGATGCTCATAGCCATCAACAATTATGTCCACAAATACACCTACAACTTCAAGAGGTAGGGATCTGATCAAACTCTAATGCCAGCCTGGAACAGCTAAGTCATACTTACATGGCCGAATGGGTCGAGATGATTATTGGTCAACTTGAGCTTTTGAAAGGAAACCAGCTGTCTCATCCAATGGGCCCCAGTAGCCGGTGAGTCTGGATGGACATATAATCTTCCAGGCATTGACGGTTCAGCCTTCCCAGTTACTGACCTATCAAAAGCAACACAACATTTGGGAGTTGGTACTTCCCTTGTTTCCTCTTGGTTTGGCCCTTAACCTCTTGAGAAATCAGAAACAGCCAGGGCAGCAAAGGATGGGGAGATGAAAATACTTCCTCAACCAGGGGTCACCAACCTTTCGGACTTCAGGAACCCCTGAATTCACAATTTTAATTCCTGTGGACTACTAATATGATCTGCCTAGTGACCGGCTGGGTGGGTGTGGCTAGGTGGTCATGTGATGGTGGGTGTGGCCAATTCGATGTCACTCACATTGAGGGGCACCTCTATTCACCCCTCCCCTCCCAGCCACTTCTCGCCTGCCCGCCCGGGCTCCTTAGGGCCCCAACAGGAAGCAGTTGCTGGAGCGAAGCAGCCCCCAGGAGAAAGAGTTG